AAAAAAAAAAAAAGCCAGTAAACAGATGCACAAAACTTACCTGACACCTGATATTTCTCCACAGTTCAGTTGTCTGGGAGATGAATAAACAGGTTGTGTGGGAAGGTCAGAGACATTTAATGCGTTGGGTTGGATTGGCGCGGAGGACACAACAGAAGGATGCGGTCGGTAAATAACACTGGGTGAGGTAGTTTGTTCCTGAGTCCCTGGCTCATTTACTCCAAGAAGATCTGGTGTCGTAGGCGAAGCGAGGTTCACTTCATGAAAGCCTTCCAAGGAGTCACTGGCCATAATAAAAGCCTCATCATATGAAACCCTGAACAAAATAAACACATCATCAGAATGCAAGCAGGAAACGTTCAGTTATATCTTTATATAACTACATATAGAGTTACAATCATTTTAAATTTTTTAAAGTGGTCAAATATGGTCAGAATACTTCATGATTTAACAAAGTTGTGGACAACTTTTGCACAAGTATCAACTTCAACCACCAATGATTTTTTCCTCCCATATATCGGACTGTTGAGTTCAGTAGCTCTAACAGCAGGCTCCACATCTAAACCAAATGATGGAATCAAGAACACGCACTATCATGAAACAAAGTCATCATTAGTACAGACTAGAATTGTTTTGTATCAAAACACAAATGTTTTACATTCAAGAGTAGGAGACCCGTGAGGCAGAAAAAAAAATTAAACCTAAAGCTTCCACTTTTAATCTCAAGGAAACGAATAATCCGGAGACAGAAATCAGTGTACCTTTAAATAAATTAGAGTCCATAACAGTTTGGGTTCATTCATGTCTAACCTTGTAACAGTTCAAGGAAGTGACAGAACTGGTCAATAAGACTTCTCATGAAGCATGATGATGTGCATTTAATAAATCACGTAATTAAGTGAAGATTGTGTATTTAATAAGTACCACACCAAAAATGAATTAATTCCATATAATGCATGCAAAAGCGTACGGTGAATTGGCGATGTGGCCAATTTAACTCATTAACTTTTCATTTTCATTCCATGCTTTTCGTAAGATCAACGTAGTAGAACAAGAATTATACAAACCACAATAGAGAAGCTCTGATTTTCTCCACGGTTTATCAGATCACAAAATCTTTGCATGATTCAAAACTATCAACTTGTAGTAGTATGAAGAAATTTGTGAAGGAATCACTTAGCAGTGATTACTCACTGCGAAAAGAACATCCTCCATAGTTTATAAATGAAGACAAGATTCAAGCTTCGCAGAGGTACCTTACATGGAAAAGAACTGCAGCATCTGACAGAATCTGTGGCATTTTATAGAGAAAATTTGCTTTGCTCTTTCTGTTGAGAAGAGCAGGTAAAGTGAAGATCTAGAAAGATGACAGATCCTAACCACAAAAAGATGCCATCTACTTACTGTTGTATGAACATCCAGCTCATTGTTTCATAAAACACACAGAAAATTACAGGAACGGAATCCTCAAGAGTGCACACACAGAAGTTTTAGTTACATCAACACTTTTTGATCACCTTAAACCTCAAAGAGCACCATTCAAAACTGCTTTCTGCCTCAAGTATTGTACTGAGCACTCACACATCCACGTTAAACAAGTTGCTTTACTACATTATGTAGTACCTTTGGAGCAAAAGGTAGAAAATAATTTGTTCAGACAGCGAGTTGCCTGCAGTGTTGCTGCTCTTTGTTAATTGCTCCCCTAAAAAAACAACAACCACTATGAAACTGCCCAGACTTAAAGCACAAAAAAGGACCTTACATAAACACAAAGGGACACCTACATGCTTTAAAATTCTATGCAGAAGTCCGTTTTGATCAACAGCTGTGCAAGCATCATTTACAAAGAAAACTGCCACGATTTTGTACTTTGGAGCTTTTCTATCATAATACAAAGAGCTAAGTTTTGAGTTTTGCTTAAGTAAGTTTGGCAAATATTCTTGTTTGCTTTCCCTATAGTTCTTCTTAGCTATTGCAAACATTTTAATTATATGCTCTATATGATGATAAAACCTGTTGACTCAACAAATTAAAACCAAGGGACTGCCAAAGCTACAGGACGTTTCTTCAAGGTTAAACATCCAAAAAGGTGTTCAGGTCTACAGTAAAACTACTGCGTGTCAGCATTTAGCATTTAATAAGCTAAATACTGCCATCTTGAAAAAAAGAAATCAAGAATATCCCACTGAGCTGAAATTTTCCATGAGTTTCTTCACAAAACTGGTCTTAAATAAATATTATTTAGCCATTTCCAGCAAGAAAGTGCTCAGGAAAAATGTAATTATCAGTGTTGAATGTGTTCTTAGTATGTCCAAATACCATGTAGCAAGCACACCAAGTAAACAGCAGGCCTGAAGGCGTGCCATTCCTTATCCTTGTGATAAGTTACATAAATCCAGCTACATTATAAAGTGCACAAAGTCATGCTGGCTTGCACAGAAACATATATATATATATATATGTATATGTAATAAGCCTGTTTATTACCTTCCAGACTTTCAAATCCATTTCCAGCTCTCCTCTCAGACTATCACATCATCTACAAGTAGCATGTTTATCCAAAATATCTATCCCACCTACACGCCCCTGCTGCAATGCTAGGGCTTTTCATCCTACAGTGCCTAAATCCTGCAGAGAACTTAATGGGCAACACCAAAAAAAAAAAAAGGGGGAGTTTTATTTACAAGACTATCACTCTGCTTGTCCATTAAGTATCAATCTCAGCTTAAACAGACAAGACAGATTTATGAGTAAGTAAACCCACACGTACCTTCTCAGTTATTAAAAAGCAAGCTCTTTCTCATACAGTAAGTAAAAAAGTTCCACAAGTTAACTGGCAGAGCTGAAAATAAAAGCCCTTCAGCTAAACTCTTTCAAATGGGCACTCACAGGCATACCATCTGTGTAAAACACTTCCCATTCACAACTTCTTTCCTCCCTAGCGTTACTTCTCACTTTGCAGTGAGCAGGAAGAAGCCTGGTACGGGTGGTTTGCCCAGCGAAGAAGCCTACATTGAGTATCTCCGTTTCGAGACTGGCCAACACCAGAACGTTGTTACCAAATGCTTGCCAAACACACGTTATGCTTTAATTGCTTTAATGAAACCAGACATACACGCAAAAAGCTAAGCAGTCTTTAAAAAAAAAAAAAAGTTATCTTTTGGGAAAGAGCTCTTAAAAGTAATGGTTAAAAAAATAAATAAATAAATTTCAGTGTTATTAAGTCTTATAGGTTTAAGGCTTGGTGGGGTGTTCAAATCATCGAATAGCAACAGCCTTGCTGTGGAGGAACATGAAGCTTTTTTTTGTTTGAGATGATAGCGTGCAATTTGGATGACATGCAAAATTCAACTGCTGTAATAAACTAGCGTGAAACAACAGTGTAAGCTAATTTCCTTATACCTTCATCTGGAAATAAAGCCAATTTGGCGTAAGTTGTCATTTCATTACAGCTCCGCCGCCCCACTCGCACTGCTGATTATCCACATAACTTTCTGAGTAAACTATGCACAAACATGCCATTTATCTAAGATTAAATAAAAGTGTACTACAAAAGAAATGAGTTGAACAACAATTTAATATGCCTCTATGGTTTCTAACAAGAAACAAGAACTGTGAACATTGTCAACGGTCAAATTAAAACACTTCATCTAGTTTTCATGTTCTTACACTAAGAAGGGTTCAGCTACTGTCTGAATGGGAGCAGCCGATAACCAAATGCTCACAACCTCCATGGAAAGCAGCAACTTATCATGGATTGTTTTCTGTTGAAAACGCAAAAATTGAGACTTGAGACTGCCTGCTACAAACCCAGTTTGTCTTTCACAAGCTGTTAAAAGTTGTCATCTTCAGCCTGGTGTTATTTAAAAGCAATTTCTTAACTGCTACAGCCCATTTAGCAGCAACATGTCACATGTCGAAAGCGTCATTTTTAGCTTTGATGAAGAGCACCAACACAACACAACTGTTACCTGCTCAAGGAGGAGGACACAAGGAAAAAGAAGTTACTACTTCTGAACGTTTTGATGACACGCAAATTCTAGTCAGCAGTTACCAAAAAATGAGCTTATTACCTCGAGTGTTTTAATCTTCACACAGAAGGCTTTTCAAAACGGAATGAAGTCTCAAAGGCTTCATTTACGGGACTCCAAAGCTCACCTCTATTAACACAGGAGGGGGCAGTAGCAGCAGGGGGAGCGGGCCAGGAGAGGGGATTTTTTTGGACCAGTTCCTCAGAAGGACTGACACACCATAAGGCCTGCATTCTTCTCAGTGGGCTTAAAAAAATCAGGTTTGAAATAGTTGGCATTTATGGTCTGGAACATAATATGTTTCAAGTCCCAGAGGACTCAGCAGGGAATTACGGTGGCGGACTAATAAATACCTTTTAATGAAACAGTCCAGTTAAGTACTGTAACTCCACACCAACACCTACCAGACACAAGCAGGCAGTTTAAAAACTAAAATTCTTTGTAAGCTTTATGTGGATGTTAATTTAAGGTTCAAAACACCAACTAAACTACAGCTATTCCATATGAGATATTCATTAGATGTTAGCTCTGGATAAAGAGATTTGGTGATTTTTTTATTTATTTCTTTTTACAGGACTAAATAGTGTTTTATATATATAAGCTTAGCCACAAAATTCATACAAGTTCAAACACTGTTGTTGCTGTAAGCTCATTGCATGTACACAATTCAAGATTTGGCACAGGCATTCCCTAAAGGTTGCAGAAAATTCCCACCTTTAAAATTATGATAGAACTTTGTACTTAAGGAGTGCAAATGTGCAACAAGTTATTTTGAGGGCAGCAAAACACAAGAGAAAATAGTGTTCAACTACTCTAGCGCTTAAATGCAGTTTTTATTTGTGAGCAACCCTACACAACGTATTTACCAATCAATATTAAACGAAACAGGTAAGCAAATCTACAGAATTTAAGAATTAGCAAAAAAAAAAAAAAAAAAAACTCTTAGTACATAAACATATGATATTTCCCTAAGTATTATCTAATTATGATAACATTTTTCTATTGCACCCCCCCTAGTTTTGTCATATAACGCCATGCAGGTGTTTTTCCCTTCTTTACCCTGTTAGCCAGCCAAACACTATTTCACACGGTTTTAAAGAAACGTGTAAGACTATTTGATAGCAAGACTTCACAAAGGTAAAAGAATTTGTGTTTTGCTGAAGCGATGATTAAAAAAAAAAAAGCTTATTTGAAAACTGTTACGGGGATATCTTCAGCTAGAAAAAAAAGAGGTGCAGACAGCAAGCTGCACCCCTTACGGGAAGAAACGAGCAGCACACGATTCAAAGATCTATATTTACAAAGTGCTTGTGAAACCTATAAATAACCGAGCTTAGAGCCTGCTAGATAGCACACCTCTTATTCGAGGGGAAAATCAGTGCTTTGAGAGGTGGAATACTTCAGGATTTGTTGTGAGCCAACGTTCACAGATTGCTGCTCAGCTCACAGCACCCAAACCAAGGAACTCGGCTGCAGGCAGCGTCCTTTCTCCAGGCTGTGTCCTTAAGGCAGGGAGCCCCTCAGCTCTGCCTTACCTTGGGAAGAACTTCGCGGAGCCTCCTCGGGCTGGCGCCTGCTCTCTCCGAGCGCGGCGGCAGAGTAATTCCTGCCGAGACTTGGCCTGGAGACCCTCTCCTTTTCAGCTAACACCGAAAATATTTGATTAGCGAGCTTTAAGTCAGGGCGGCCGCAGTTTTCAATGTGCGCAAAGCTTCCTCAGCGTGCGCGCAGGTAAGTTTAAAGGAATGTTACGTCTGAGGAAATGGCTAGGATACTACTAAAGAGCCTGATACAACTTCTGGCCGATTGATAGTAGGATTTTAAATGCCGTAGGAAAAAGGGGAATTAGAAAAACAGCCAAAATACAGGGTAATCTTCCGGGGAAAGCTGCAAGCTGACGGGGAGCAAGGGAGCGGTTGACCTGGCGTCCCGGCGAGCGCTCCCCCGGTGCCGGTGGCGGCTGAGCCCTGGGGGCTGCCTCCCCCCGGCTGCAACGGGACCCGCCGGCTGCCGGCGCTTGTTACTTATTAAAAAGGGGACCGGAGGATGAATTATTTATCCTCCTCCCCACCAGGTAACACGAACCAGGCGAGGCAGAACCGCGGCAGGCCCGGCTTTAACCCGCCCCGCGCCGAGCCGCAAGCCAAACACCGCCGAAAAACCCCTCCAAATTTTGGTCTCGCCCCCAAATTTCGCCCCGAGCGGCCGGCACCCGCTCCCGGGCCGCCTCACCTCCCGCCTGCCCCGCGAGGGGGCCGAGGCAGCACGGCGGGGCTGGGCGCCCCGCACCGCGACCCCCCCTCCCACCGCCTCAAGGGCGCAGCTGCCGATGCTTCACGAAGCCACCGGGACCGGGAACCGGGACCGGGAACGGAGCCGCCGCCGCGTACCTGCGCCGAGCCAGCCCCAGCGGCCGCCGCCGCCCCGCGTCCCCGCAGCCGGCCGGGGGGCGGTTCGCTGGGCGGCCGCCGCGCATGGCAGCCGCCGGCGCCCCGCCCGCATGGCGGCCGAGGCGGGAGTGAGGGGAGTGGGGAGAGTGTGGGGGGCGCCGCCGCTGTGGGGCATGGGGGTGGTTGGGGGGAGGCTGTGGCGGAGGCAGCCCGCCGGGAAGAGCCTCGAGGTGACCTCCATAGAATCGTAAAGGTTGGGGAAGAGCTTCTGGATCGTCTGGTCCGACCATCGTCCTACCATCAATGTCACCCGCTAAACCATGTCGCTAAGCACCACGTCCAACCTCTCCTTGAGCACCCCCCGGGAAGGTGACTCCACCACTTCCCTAGACAACCCATTTCAGTGCCTGGCTACTCTTTCTGAGAAGAAACGTCTCCTAATTTCAACCTAAATTTCCCCATCTTCTCACCCCTTGTAGCCAAGCCACAAGGCAAGGCAAGGCCCGTGGCTGAGGGAAGGGGGTGGCATGGCATGGTAGGACGGGTTGGGTCGGTCAGTGGCAGCACTACAGCCATGGGTCACTTGTCCATGAGAAACACACAGGCTATAAAGTGTTGTTGGCTGGTCATTTTAGGCCAGCCACGGCAGGTAGCGGAGGCTCATGGTTGAGCAAACGGTTTCAGGTGGTGTGCTTGAGAAGACAGAGTGTGGACAGACAGACTGCAGACAGACTCATAACTTCATGACAGATCCATCAACACTTCGTGCCTCTGTGCATGGTCCGGAAGAGAGGGTTGCAGCACCACTTTTGTTTGAGGGCAGGCAAGGGCAGGGCTATTAAAGTCTGTTACCATGAAAAACACAAGGAAATTGATAATCCTGGGGTTAGTTATATACAGTAACAAAGACACTCTGTTACACAATTAAAAATGAGAAAATGAGATGTGTACCACATCATTATGCAGTGGTTTTTCATTCATGGGGCATGCACTGCCCCAAATTGGGACGGAGCCTGTCTAATGCATGTAATGAAGATTGAACTGTAACTTGTATGCTCAAGACTTGTGAAATAAGGTCATGTATACAGCTAAAACAGAGCTCACACGCTAAAAAGATTTGTTTTTCCAGCTCTAGTAGTTTGTCCGATAAAGAGAGATTACTACTTCTAATCTTGGTTTACCTATGTCCTTAGCCTTCGTTAGGGCCACCTTGATACAACCACAATAGATCAAGCAATTTTCCATCTTTTCAGAGGTTAACATGCGCACTTTGCCTTTTTTTTTTTTTTTTTTTTTTTTAACCTTTGAAGTCCTGGTCTGCATTGTTTTGTGGTTTATATGTCTTTAGAAGCAGTAGGCAAAATGTTGGAAAGCTGCCGTAGCCAGGGCTCAATTTTACCACTGGTCCAGTGCGATCACCAAGAAGCGTGCTTCCAATGACAGCTGCACTGACTGCACCCTGCACTTTGGTGAGGAACTTTAGCAAAAAAAAAAAAAAAAAAAAGATGTAAACAAGATCTTGTCCCATTCATCAGTTAAGGAATCTAGGCCAAGTTCCAGTCAATAATTGAAATGTTAATTATCTTGACAGCTTTCCACTGAATGTGAAAGAATCCCGTTTGGCCAGTCCTGCAGGACATTGCCACAGACAAATAATGTTCTCTGTGACACATTAACCATAGCATCCGCCAAGCAAGAGCTTCATCAAGGGCAAAATAATATGACAAAGAGGATGTCAAAAGAGAAACATCAATGCCATTCATCATAAAGTAAATATATTACCTATAAACGGTAATATATTCTTGACTGGTTTTCAGCCTGTGAATCTACATAGACTACATGGCTCAGACAGCAAAAATGGCTGCAGAGAGTCATCATCCATAGCTTTTTTGGAAGGAATTGGAAAACGAAGAAACTAAGTGGTGCAAAATTAAAGTATTCAAATAGCAGTGTAACTAGAAGTTTGTTGCAAGAAGCCTCATAGAATGGAGTTTTCAGTTTGAAGAGCTTTGACCTTTAAAATTATTTAATTCCCTAGTGTTGCTATGCAATAGAACCTGTGCAGTGCTATCAGAATACAGGTTTGCCAAATTAGAAGATGTGTCAGGAAGCTCATTAAAAGCATGATTGCAAAGAAGACATGACAAGTGGAATCAGAGGTTGAAAACAATGTATTAAGACATAGTAAACTGACAAGAGTCTATAATTAGGATCTGTAATCCTATAGTTCTTAATCCGGTACATGACTGTACTTGGCATGACAATCTGCTGTCTTAACCAGATTAGACATCTTGCATTTCAAGAAATAAAAGGAATACAGTTTCAAAGCCATTTGACTGTGCTAAAATTAATCACCAACAGATTTATTTTGTCTGAATATTCCTGTATTTTGCTGTATATAATACGTTAAGAAGTCAGGCAGCAACAAGCTACAGAAAATATAATTTATATGGTTCAAATTAAAAAGTCAAAGTAATTTGGATTAAATTCAGAGACATAAAAAGGAAAAGTAAATATTTGTCTAAAAGAGTGCTTTTATTCAACCCTTGGCTGTTTCCTGAGGTGTACTTCAGTGTCAGAGTGGGGTTATTCCTCCAGGCATCATGAGCTGGGAGCTACAGGCAACCCCACCAGTGAGGGCACAGTCCAGAGCTAGCAACAACAACAGGCTTTGTGCCATGAAAGATAAGATATCAAATCAGGTCCAGGATTCATCTAAGAAGTCTTGTCAGGAAGAGCAAGAGACAGGACTAGAGACAAAGGCACCTATAGCACAGGTCTGAGGGTCATCCGAGGAGGTGACAACCAAGAGAGACGAGATAGATATCTTGAAGAAAAAAAAAAAAAAAAAAAAGCCAGATAGATATCTTGGCAGTGTCAGACTTGGCCACAGCAATCCATGTACTGAGTGATGGTCTCATCAGTGTAGCTTCTGTCCAGTCACTATTGAATAAAATGTGGCAAACATCATTGCAAATAGTTCCCTCATCACTCAGAGTCTCCCTGACTATGGCACCTTTGTCTGTCCAGATCTTCTACTGCATTTAAACCATCAGTTTGACAGGGTCTTTATATGTGTCTGTGTCTTTCACTAGTCGTTACAACCCACTGGACATTAAGAAACCTATTTCAGGGAAGAAAAAGCAGAAGAGACAAAGGTGTTTCACAGAAGCCAGGCCCAGGACATCACAGTCTTCTCTGCTGAAGGCAAGAATTCCTGCAGGACTTGAAAGAAACCAAGAGCAGCATTTTTCTTTGGTCTGACTTGAATTGATTTAAAATTTGTTGCATATATGCACAAACAAAAATGCCAGCTAAGCAAAATCTTTTCTCCTAAAGGTTGGGAGGAAAAAAGGAGGGAGATTGTTCTTCTCTTAATACATGTTTGAGTGTCCAGTGTGGAAGGATGCCTCAAAATTTTCACAGGTAATTAAAACAGATGAACTTTGAAATCTTGTTTTTACTTGCCTGTGGTATTTTTTTGCTGGTTTCTTTTATTGTTTTTTAATATTGGATAAACTGTAATTATTGCTTCCATCTCAAAAAACAATAAACTCAAGCAAACCAAAGGATGAATATACTCATAGAAGTCCCACATATGTAGCAACCCCATAGCATGGTGTAAAGAAACAACAAAAGTTTGTTGTTTGCACAAAATGTACAAAAATTTTTTGTACAAAAAAATGTACAAAAAAGGTTCAGAGGTTGTAACTTTTCTCTATTCTAAAGACATTTTTCCTTCTACTAGTTCAACTGAACCAGTTATAGAGTTTGAGGAACCACAGCACAGACGAGTTCCTCAGTCAAGTATATTTCTTCAACATTTTACCTGCACATTTGGAAAGCAAGTCTAACTGGTACACTGGCATAAATAACCACCACCATCCCTCTCCCGCCCCCCAAAAAAAAAAATAATAAGGCAAATAGACAAGACTGATGTTTACTCTTTCTCTAAATTTCCAGTGGTGGAGATTGCTGCACAGCCTCCCTATGCAGTGCCTTCCACTGCCAACTATCCTCAAGCCAGAAATACTTCCTAAAGTCTAACATAATCTCCTTTGCTGCAGTGTAGGACAAGAGGTAAAGAGCTTATCTCAGCGGTTACAGGAAACAACAATCTTTACTGTATTTGACAGCATAATCTATCCCCTCCATTTTCTCAAAGACTAAAGAGTTAGTTTAATCTTTCTTCATGGTTCATGTAAGATTCTGGCCCTTCATATCTTGCAAATGTAGTAAGTGCATTCGTTGTTCCATCAGCCAAGTCATTAGTTAAAGTATAGCATATTATCAGAACCAGTACGATCCTCTGAGATGACATGCTTTAACAACTGGCCATTCAAAACCATGTTTTGAGTATGGTTTTTATATTAGTCATGTACTGTCTTGCAAGTAGTTCATGCAAGACAGTGTTTCCCTCACTTTTTAATGACATCATAGGAGGGAATTTCAAAAGCTGTCTATATCACGTATGTTGCTTCTTTTGCATTTGTCTTGGAATGACTCAAATGGTTTGCTCAAATCACATAATCTGTTGCAGAATCAAAACCTCAAACCAGTTCATAGTCCTCTCCTCTGTTAGACTTGTCAACATAATAAATCAGTATGAGAAATAAGGGCTTCAAATGGTGTCTAAAAAGTGAATATTCATTAAAGACTTGTATTGCTTAATTATAAGTGCACGGCATGTATCTATACACAACCTGCAGAACTCACTCACTGACACAATATAACAAGAAAGGCAAATTCTTAGCTGTGTTCAAAACAAAACAAAACTATATGACTACACAGAACCCACCCTCATTAGGGAAAAATACAAATGAATAAAGAATATCTGTTCTTATTTTAACCAGGAATACAAAGCAACTATTAATTAACAAGGATTAACTTCCCCTTTGAGCACGCTAGTTCAAAATTGTCCACTTTGACCATAGGGACTGATCCTGCAAACAAGTTGCTGAACTAGTCAGATTCTGCTGCTGCCTATAAAATAAATAATTTTTCTAGGTTTTTTGAAGGTGCTTATAAGTGCAATTCAATACTAAACGGAAGAAACAAAAGACTGAAATGGCCTTACCAACTTATGTAAGGACTGACATGTGGTCTCGTTTATCTTTAGAAGCAAGCCAGGGACAGATCCTGAGTGCAATTAAAAATAGTACACCATGTTCATCCCTAGCTGGAAAATGGCAGAGATGCCAAAACTGAACTCAGAAATCAGAAAATAAAAATACAAAATGCATTTTCACCTGAAACTTGACACCCTGAAAGCCAAACTTTGTAATCCTGATAAATCTATTTGTAAAGCTCAAGAATCCTTTTACCTGAGGAGATTTCAAAAATATCTCCACTAAATACTCCAGCTAGTAACAGTGGAAAACATAGGGTAAGGATTGAGGAATTGTGTGTTTTATTCACAGTTCTGTTTTGGATCAGGACACCCTCACTGTGCTTTGATTTATCCATCTAAACTGAAATTCCTGAGACTTCTTTCTCCTTCCCCATAACATGTGGCCCTATTATAACATTCAGAAAACAAGTGTTTCAGAAGTCTTCATTTTTTTCAGACTAAAATTTCTATAAACATTCAAAATGTAGTTTTACAGGACAGATTTTTTCATTATTTTTGCTCAATGACACAGAGATTCAGAAACCGACTCGAACGAAGGCTGCCAGTTATTGCCATGTTCTGAGGAGTAAAACCGGTCTTAAAGGAAAGCTTTTGAAGTTGCCAACCATTTCCCTACACCACAGAAAAGCCGTTTTATTCTTCTTCTGTCCAGCATTTTCTAGTTTGTATGGACATCACTCTACCAGGCATAGGAATGACCCCAGTGGCCTTTTCTCCTTGTGTCCTGAGCTGACTTGCCCATGGCAGCAATGCTTTGTGAGCTTGGTGCAGCAGATCGGAGAGGGTTTTCTGAAATCCTTTCTTCAGTCCCATAGATGGTAAAAAAGCTGATGTGGTATGGAAACCAGAACAGTTTCAGTTCTAAAAAAGAGAAGGATTACTCTGCTATGCCTCTAACAGACGGAAGCAAAGTGGCCTCCAAAGTGCCAGCCGTTCCCAAGACTCTTGTCTCCATGAATATTTACGTACATTGAGTTGGGATGTACCCACACTCACCATGGCAGGAAAAGCTTTCCCCCACCTCACTAAAATAGTCAAAACAAGGATTTACCCAGAGGAGTGTGAAGAACAAATCCCCCAACTAGCAGCGTGCCATACCCGTGTGTCATCTGGCTGGGCAGCAACCCAACAAGCTTCTCCCCCTTTCCAGCCAGCCTGGGGCTTAGTCCGTCCACTCCTGGCTCACAGACTGAACCTCATGGCTGGGGGAGCAGGGAGACTTTCGATTCTGAACCAAGGTAAACAAACAGCATAGGGCATATTTTGCAAAAGCTTCTAAGGGTATTTAGGCATTTTTAACCAAAAAGTTGCGGAAAGCAGAGAAGAGGATTTGTTGTAGCTCAGGTGGAAATACAAAAACGGAAGGCTGGTTGTGTTTGTCTATGTCGGTTCACTAAACTCGCTATTTAAGTCGCTATTCTTTTTTTCCTGGGTGCTACTTCTCTTCTTATACTCTTTTTTTTTTTTTTTCCTCATAATCAACATCTGCAAAACAATCAAAGCTCTGAGAGAAATGTTTAGCATTGAACTATGCTAGGAAGGAAAACCAGAACTGGCTTTAAGGCAGGACTGGAAGGACTGTCTGGGTCCCTGAGTCAAGTCCTCAGTTTTATCCTTTTCATGTGTTTATCAAGTGACTTCTTTTAACAGCAGTAAGTATTGTTAAGGATTTTTTTGTGTGTGTTTTTGGGGTGTTGTTTTTGTGTGTGTGTTTGTTTGTTTTGTTTTGTTTTGTTTTTTTGAACTGGAATCAGGTAAATAAGAAAAAGAGCTCTTGTCAGTTTTTCCCTTTACAAAGAGAAATTGGTGGTAGTCAGGCATCCTAATGCAATCCTTTTTTATACACAAATACCAATAACCTTGTTCTCCCAAGTGCAGCAGCAATGAATAGTTTCTGGTTCCAAATCCTTTACAGAAAACATCTAAAGCAAAAGAACTTGCTTTTTCTAAACACTTTTTCCTGCAGACACTTTTCTGTCTGTCCTTAGTCTCCAGATCATTCTTTGAATATCTTCTGCCTCATTTTTCCCTTTTTCACTCATACAGTCAGACACTTGCAAAAACCTCTCTGCCCATGATAACAGCTGAAGAAAATCCCTTGCCCTTACAGTCCTGGATGGATTCAGTGGTAACATGCCTCTACATTTAGAGGTAAGTTAGGGCATAGTTTCTTCCATCAGTTGCAGCAGCGTGGTTTAATCACACCTCTAACAAAGGCAGTATATTGCACCTCAGCTTTACAACAGATCCCCCAAGTAAAAAAGACTGGTTACGCCCAGCTATGCAGTTAGCTCTATTTTAAGTCATGAGAAAGTTGTCCTTCATGTATAGGCCTTTGAGTCCGGCTCCTGGACACCTCACTCGTGGTGCTTTGTCCATCCCATCTCCGTCTGACAGCTCCCGTGCCGTGCTATCAGATCACTTTGGTGTGTGTGCACCTTCTGGCAATAAAAGGATTGTTGAGGCTGACAGCAATCACAGTAATAACAATACTCACAATAACAAACCCAGCACTACTATGCAAAGAATGCTGGTTATTTCATTACAAGGAAAATGCAAAATGAAGTGTTTCTGAATACGGTCTTATAGGACTCTGAGAATGAATCCTGTGGAGGCAGCCGGCTTTATGCTGCAGACAAATTCATTTGTAATCCTCTGAAGTATCCTACCATGTGACTTCCAGAGATAAACCAGCCTGCTTTAAAGTATATTTCCACAACCAGCACTGAGTGATGCTAAGTATGGTGGTATCTCTCACAGTAGATTAACTTTTAATTATTGTCGTTTCTCTCATGAAAGAGGCTGTAAGATATCACAGCAGCTCTCCACATGTTCCCCTTAAGGTCAGAGGACATTTTATGTTAATTTGTTCATTTGTTTAAGACTGGGAATTCTAGCAGCTAGTGACAGTAAGTAGAAAAATAAAGCAAAACCCAATCCGTTCTTGTCTGAGAAAATCTGACAGCAGCTTCTTTAATACCACCCTCTTCCCAACACTTTAATTATTCACTTCTTTTCAACGAGGGGATTCTTTCATGTTGTTCATACTACATTTCAGCCTTGTTATTATGACATTTCTTTGGGTATTGGTATAATGTATTGTTAGAGATACTGTCGTGATTGCTTGAAGCTTCACTAACACTGCAATATTAATTACTTTCTTCCAGAAATCTTCCAATGTAGAAGACTGGAAAACCAAAAGAAAATCAAGAGAAAATAAGCAGGAAGGACCAAGAAATGAAATAACTTGTATTTGATAGATTCCTACCATCTCCTGCACTGCATTGTCTTGTTAAACACCCATTGATGGTAACAGCAGAAACCTGTTTAGTTACACAGAATGACAATATTTTTGTCCCTTTGCAATTTATATTTGTCCAAAACAAAGAGAACGTGGATGCAAAATACACCATTAGTAGTGATCACCAGTGGAGCTGAACATCTAGAGAAACTTCTGAAAATTATTTTTGCAGATGAGACCTCTCAAATTCCTGTCTTCCATATATGTCTGTAAAAACAAAGGACGTCCTTTGCCCTTGTTTGTCAATGATGCTAAGGATGTCCATCATGAAAGATCTGAAAAAGCACAAGAAATGATAAACTTAAACCATTCATTGCAAATGTGAAATACTGTTTTACACACTTCAAACATCTATCCTTTTTTGATGACCTTTTAGAAACCTACTGTGTACAAACAGCATTTCTACATGCTACCAGGCACATGACACCTGATAAAAATAGTTGCTTGTGTTAGCAAAGGTGTGAATATCTCAAAGTATTACTTATCATGTCTTGAAGCTATCTTCATTTGGATTAATGATCTGTGATGAGACTCCATATAGGTTTTAGAAGGTCTGCAGGGTCTGCAGAATTATTCCTCAAATACAAAGGTGAAATAATTAGTGCTTTATAGTATAGAGATCACTGGAGCTCCAGCAATACTTTGCAGGCCCTTACTCATTATTATGAGATTCTAAGAGTTTGCTATAAAACTTCATTTGCTGCAGTGGGCTTAATTACATTTAAAAATCTAATAAATGGTGATGACCACCCCCGCATCTTACAGTGGAAACAGTTACATAGCAGAGGAGAGACAATACAAATACAAATCCTTACAGAAAGAAAATCTTTTTAATTCCACAAAATATACACATTTATTTGTTCCCTCTATTATGTTGTACACATCAGCTGCCTATTAACCAGTTACTCAGTTGGCACCCTATTTGAACTTGCTTGTTTGCTAAACCTTGCATTAAAGGGCCAGAAGATCACTCAGATAGCCCAGGAGGCTCCTTGTAGGTTAGATTTGCTCATTCAACTGAATTTGGCAGAAAGACAGGATAGTAAGAAAGTACAAGATATCAGTTCTAGTTTCAAATAGCAGGTCACAGGTGGCAGGCATTTTGTATACAGCAGGACTGTCACAACTGTCAGCATCCCCCAAGAGCAAAGCAGAGTTAAACAACATTTCCTCAGTCCTTAGCCTTAGCTGACATCACTGACGCTTTGTTGGAGATGGGGAACAGCATTTGCTGCTGTATTCCTCCTCCCAAGGTCCCTCTTCTTTCTTGTCTGCTTTAAAGCAGAAGGCAGCTTCTAATGTCTTGGAAGAAAAGGATTTTTGCAGAGATCCTGTAGCCAGTCCTTAGTGAGATGAAGGACAAAGAAGTGATGGTGATGGCTTTCACGGCCCTTCTCTAATAACTGAGCTTTTGCAGCCTCCCACCAGTGTGCTGCTCACGTTGTGCATTCAAGATACCAACATAAACACAAACAGAAGAGCTGAATTACAATGTAAGGCTGCCTTAAAATTTACAGCAAAAGGTCTCCATTCATGCTACCACAGATATGGCAGTCAGCAAGAAAACTGTAACAAGCTCCTTAAGCGGTGACTCCCGGTAGCAGTCACAAGCTATAGCTCTCCCCTCCCTGCCTTCCTCCACGTTCAGGTGGATGGAGGCAGCCTGTGGGGTCTGAGTTTCAGGTCTGAGTGATTATTTTAACGATGACCTTAGAAGATCCCTGTCATTAGGAGTCTTCTCGGGGCGGGCCGTCGCTGTAATAGGATCGGGCAGCGCGTTTCTTCACGCCAAGTCACCGAATGTTAAAATGATTTGTCATCTCTCACTGCAGGCCGCTGCCTGACACACACATGCCACAGTCTCGTGTCTCGCCTGCCTTGACATCAAAGCGTCTTCCTTCTGCGATTGCCAGTGGGAAGAAAGGCAAACAATGACAGTGGCTGATTTGCTTTCAGAGAGAGTCCTAATTAAATAAGTGCTCTCAGATAGCTTTGTACCTTATAATGGGGTGAAGGCAGGGGAAAAAACCTTTCATCATAAAATGTATTAAATCCATAAATCTTGCTTACTCTCTCCCCCTGGAATTTTTATTTATTTATTTATTTATTTCGCAGCCACACTATTTCATTCTCCATAGAGATTTATGGCAACATTATATGGCCTCTCACGGGCTTTCACAGTCTGTCACCTTTTACAGCTCCCTCTTAATGCCATGAGTCATAAAAGAGGAAGTCCATCTCGTTTTACAGAGGGGAAGAGGGGAAGAAGTTCCCTCCAGTCACACAAAGCCGCCAATGTGCCATCGTGAACAGGTTCACTGAGCCTGATGGGACTTCTTGTAAGAGCCGCTGCATTTATTTTGAGGGATGAGAGGCTCTGAGGGCCCTGCTGCCCTTATTTCCCAATTCAAGGCAGCGGGAGAGCAGCAATGTGCTGCAGGGTGGGAACCAGGTGCACCTGGGGCACATCCCTAAATTTGTCCCAAATTTGTCCGTGTTGTCTGGTCTTCCTGGTTAGATGCAGTCAGTGCTGGGTCTGAGGAGGTGACTCTTCTAAGGTCCCAGATGAAAATGCTCCTCGCCTTTCCCAGTTTGGGGACAGGAAGTAAAATGGAGAAAACTGGAGGTGCCGGCCAAGCCGTGGCAAGGCTCTGCATCCAAATGAAAGGGGTCCTTCCGACGGCGAGCGGCGTTATAATTATAGACTAGAAAAGAGCAAGATCAGCAGCTGCTGCTGCTGCTGCTGCTTGCGTTTGTTCCCTGTGTAACTGACAGGACAGAGGACTTGGCAAAAACAGCCTTCCAGAAGTGGAAAGACATTTTAACCCCTGTGCTTGTCAGTCCTCTCCTCCCGGGGCTCGGTGGAAGCGATCCCCTGCTTCAGGTTAGGGGAAGAGCCCAGAGATTACACCAGCCCCAAGGGGTGCCCTGTTTGGGACGTCTGAGCAAGAGGAAGGGTCCGGGATTTGCCTTCGTGCTTGGATTGACAGATCCAAATAGCAGGTCAGTGGGCATGGAGCGTGCTCGATGTACTTTTGTGTCTGACTTAACGCCAATCTCTCTCTCTCTCGCTCGCTTGCTTTCTCTAATATACCATAAACAAATAAATCAGATAACACAATGACAAAGGGTAGGTCTGCGCAGAGCCACTATTTATTTATATGTTCTGTAATGTCTCTTTAATGGTCAGTTAGGGAACGCTGATTGCTGTTATTTTTTACTGTGGTTTCTCTCCGAACTCTAATGCATCCTGAAATTCTCAGCCAGGCAAAAATCCTATTTACAACTGGGCTCAATATTAGTGGGGAAAAAGATCTTTTATTTTTAGGCATTTATGTCTCAGGACATCTGATGATCTTAGCAAAAGTGGAGTGATATATACCTCACATTTCGGTCCAGGCTGGAGAAAGTTTCAGAGAGGGAGCAAACACTGAGCCAAAGGAAAAGCAATGTCGCGGATGTGAGCCAAAGTTTCTGCAGGCACAAAATGGGTATAACTTGTGTCACGTCGTCGGAGCTCACAAATCCAAACCAGCAGAAAGCCTAGCCCTGTATCTGCTAATGAAGCCCAGGGCAAGGCGATTAATAGGACAGTCTTGCATGGCAGCAGTTCCTGCGGTGTCCGATCCAGTGCCCACTCCTTCTGTGGCCCCAGCCAAGACAGGCAGGAATGTGCTGGGGGCATCGTGATCCTTCGCTCTTCCTGTCAGCCTCAGCTTTAGCTTTTTAATTTCCTGTGACCATGAGTAATGCTGGAAGGACTCTCGGGCAAGCGCTGCCCATGTCCCCAAAGGCTTGGGACCACCGCACAGGAATCAGCCACAGCACCAGGATTTATGCAAAAATTTGCTGCCTAAATGTGCATGTGCAGTACCCCGGTGGTGGGAGCTGTTCACAGGGGAAAAACACAAGTGCAGTCTTAAATCTATACTTGCTAAGATCTAACCAGACAGACACATTGCTCTCTGTCATAGTTCCTGTAGTCTGAAGTGATCTCAGGTCACCTAATCTGACCTAAGGTGTATTTTGGGACATTACATTTCACCCTGAAACCCCTGTATGAGCCCAACGATCAACATTCAATAACACATTTGCTTAGCAGGAAACTAAAATACAGAACATCCCAGGCAAGGCAAGGCAAGAAAACCAAGGCACCACAGCCTGAAATTGCTGTGAGAGTCTCACTTTTATTTGCCCCATTTCTGAGGCAGAAATTAAAAGCCACTGGTGCCCGTGCCTCCCACGTTCACATGAAGATTTTCTACTCACAGCCAAGGACTTCAAGCAAAGTGCTAAGAGAGATGGCAGGAATCTGATTAAGTGAAATGTAGCTGTTCAACTTAAGCAGGCAAATTGCACTTCACGGAGAAAACTCCCCTCTCCCAGCTTAATGTCAGGGGAAATATTCATAATCCGGAATCCTATTATCATTACAGCTCTGCAGCTGTAGCCAAAATCCACCCACTAGCATTTCCAGGCAGGATTTGCTGCAAGTCCTTAGAGGAGGTGAACCCATTTTGTCCTGCTGAGCTAGTGTCGATTTCTGGCACCATGCAGGCACTGATGCTGTAGAGGAAAGCCAGGGGGAACACACTAAATGCACAGATCTCAGAAACTGGGGAGGGAGTTGGGGGAAAAAACACAGCCCTGCAGCTAACAGGGTGCTGGAGCTGGTGACAGGTGATCCTGGTGGACACTTCTTCACTGTGTTGTTTGAACACACACACTGCCTGGCATTAATGGACAAGGTTAAAGCCTCCTACAGCCGTCCCAGGAGACTCAGTGTAATGCTGACAACATCTTTCTACCCCATTCCTACCCTTTGGCCTAGCCACTGACCTCTCCTTGCCTTTAAAGCCCCATTTCTGCTGGGAATGGAGATCTCTGCCTCCATTTCCTTAATGTTGCATCCTGACCACAGGCTTTCCAGCAGGCAGGGCCGCACTGCTGCACGCCAGCCAGTCAGTTTGGCTCCTGAATTTAATTTTTGGGAGTTCAATGACAACAACAACAACATTTAAAGGGATGTGTCCAGTCTCAGATGCAGAAAAACTATCATTTGGATTTGGATGCTAAGGAATATAAACCATGCATCTCCAAAAAAAAAAACAATACCAAAACAAAAGTCTCAGAGCTCAAGCTGGCAAACCTCAAGCAGACATTCGGCACATGGGAAGAGACAGTCTGTCAGTAATAGGAGGCTTATGGTGTCTTTTCCCTGCTGATTCCCATGGTGACTAAAAGAAAAAGTGGCACTTTTACAGCTGAATTTTAATGGCTTGTTTTTATGCTCTGCATAGGAGATGTAGCCAAGTTACATAAAACACTATCAAGCCATCTATTAACTGTGGGTTCATATTTCTTTCTGAGAGTAAGTGACCTACACTGGCACCAAGAAAATGCGTACAAGAACAATATTTAGGCTAGTGTCTTACACAATAACTACCCTGAGGCTTTGTGCTTGTCTTGTTTGTTCCTTTTCTTGAATGCTGTACAAAAGTGCTTTCATCTCTATTTGGAGTTAAATTCTCTGCAAGCACAGAAAAGTTGCTGTAGCATCCCTACACCGAGTAAGCAAGCAAGAAAAACAGTGTAAAATATTTGCCAGTATGCTTTTAGCACTGCTTTAATTACGTGGTGTTGCACGCTGTCTACCTGAGCAACCCTGTGGCTTTTTTTGCATGGCCATGCAGTGCTGAAGCACCAGCGTAGTGCTGAGTGTGTCTAGCTGCCAAGGAGAAAAATAACAGGGTTCCCCAGCCGATCTCAGCTGCTGTCGTAACTGTTAATGAAAGAGGCCGTCTCCAGATCTCATTTGCTTCTCGATGAGTGTAATTACCAAAGCCAGCTAAAAATACCGGCTGGGGAGGAAGGTACATTGGTGAATTCAGCTTTGCTTCTGCTGCTGGAGCTCTGACAGAGTTTGGGAAAAATTCAAGCAAATTTGCTTCCTTTTCTCTGCTTGCACCAGACTGGAGAAAACTGGGAGTAAGCAGAGGCTTCAGAGGTGTGATGTGTCCCCGTTGACACTGCCACTGCCACCCAGGCGGGCAGCCACATCTGGTGCTGGCTCCTGCTTTTGGGTGGTGGCTGGGGCCAACCAACCATTGTGCAACATTGCATCCATCTACCTGCAGCTCAGCAGGGCTTGTAACCATGAGATCTTCACATTTTTCTCTCTTTTTACATATAGAAACACACAGCATATGTTTAGGTATACTGTTATATGTATATTTGTGCGTGTATATCTGTGTGCGTTCAGGTTAGGATACGCTGTCTAAAATGTTATTGGTTTCCTGCTTCTCTTCCACTGTTTCTAGGCACAGCCTGCCAAGACGATGACAGTCACTTATTCCAGCAAAGTAGCAAATGCCACTTTCTTTGGATTTCACAGATTGCTCCTAAAGTGGAAAGGCAGCATCTACAAATTGCTGTACAGAGAATTTATTGTTTTTGCTACTCTTTACACAGCGATAAGTGTATTATACAGGTACACTCTTTCCAATTGACATCTCATTCAATGTTATACTGAAGGTTCACACTGTGTAGCATTAGGCTGATGAGTGACTGGTTGGGGTGGGGGGTGCCACATAATTGTCATCCTTTCCTCGAACCTTTTCTAATCTCCTTTAATTTCCACATTTACTTCTTAGATCCAGAGGAAGCATGTAGAGTGTAAATAAAATATGGTCTATCGTACTCGACTGATTCCACTCTCAGCCTTCTGCCAATGCTGAGCAACCCTTCTGCTGAAGTTAGGCTAAATAAGTTAGCCTAAATTAGTTAGTTAGGCTAACTAATAATACCCATAAGTAGCCCGTGATATCTAGCCTTTATCATTCTGGCACTGAGTGTGCCTCTCTGCTTTGAATGATGAGTATTGGCATTTCTTGCTTGCAGAATTGGTCTTCAGTTGCTCAGGGGTAATTTCATGGACGACACTGAAGTGAATAATTTGAGGGGCAGGTTATATAGTCTTTTCTCAGGAAAGGTGAAGTTATCCTTAAAGGTAGGAGGGCATGACTAACTTTATTTTTAAGGATCCAAGCTTGCAAAGGGACAAGC